ACCAAATTGTCCATTTGATCAAGGAAAAAGAGACTACTTAGTTATATCCAGAATTTTGTTTTTTTCTGAAAGCAGCAAACTATTTTTGTCCAAAAAAAAGGGTTCAAATATCCTTGGAAGCAAAACAGTCCTGACAAAAAAATGATTATTTCATTATAGGAAGATGAACTCAAAAAAGCAATCTTAGTGGTTTTTGCCAACAAACAGGTAAGTTTTGAATTTATTCTTGAGATGCATTCTTTTAAAAAATTTAAACAGAGTGATATCTGCTAAACTCTTAATATTTTGGAAAAGGATAGGGATTGAGATCAGGGTTAACCCTTTAACCCCTAAGAGTGAGTGGTATCTAATTTCTCCTTACCATATCATCTCTGAATCAAGCATTAAGGTCGGGAGAATAAAGGAGCTGACCACACATGAAAGAAGATCTTGATTGTAAGACAAATTCTCCATGTTGGCATCTTAGGAAATGTTTGGAGAACAGTATGGAGAATATGCTTACTGATTTTAGGGTGTAAAGGATGAAAATGGAAAACCCTGGACCTGCAATAATTAAACACTATTGGCTAGTTGTTTAAACAAAGTTTAGCAGTTGTTTATCAAAACTGTGTTCTAAGCCATTTTCAATTTAACCGAACCTTCTATTCGAACATGACCAAAAAGACAGTTATTTAATAATTGAATTAACCCTCTTAAAGAAAATCCCTGAGGCCCACTGATTGCATAAAACTGTGGTTTGGTTAGACCTTGTGTAAAAAACTAGCCCCACAGACTAACCCAAACTAGTTTTAGGCAACCAGTGGACCTTAGGCTTTTTTTATATATCCTTTATATGTCTTCCTCTAGTGGCTTTTTGGCCCTCTCAATACTGTTTAGAAACATAAATGTTAAGATGAAAGGTTTGGCTAAATAGAGGATTTTTCAGGATGCTGTTCTGTTAAACAACTGCTAAACCTTGTTTAAATAGCCAGCATTATGACTCATAGATTTGAATAATCTGCTACTTCTTTCTGTGGTGAAAATACTGACATTTTAAAACAAGGCATAGTGTTTTGAACAAGTGATGACTTTCCAACAAAACTATTTTAAGAGTGATAATGTGAAATTTGGTATACATGTACATAAGTTAAGCATGAAAAATTGTTAAAAATCAAAGCCATATCTGAATTTTTCTTGTGACTTCAGGATATTGAAGGAGCCATGACAGCTTCAGAGGTCTCAAATGCTCTAGGTCTCTCTGCATTGAAGAGTCGCACATGGTCCATATTCAAAACCTCAGCTACAAAAGGAGAAGGACTTGATGAGGCTATGGAATGGTGAGTTACATTAAGAATTTTATTAATCTAATGATATACATGCAAAAATTATATGCATCTGATTGGATTCACACCCATTTAAGGAAAAATTCATGTTTCACATGCACTTAAAACAGCATTTCATGTGTCACAAATTTAATATGAAAATTTCAAATTGCACTTTCCTTGCCTTTCTGTAAATTTCACACATCCCATCTTAATTTTGGGCTTAATCATGCATTACATATAAACCCTTTGCCCTCCCTCCCCCCTCTGAGAACAGCTTGCCACAATTATGTATCTCAAACATAAGCCCAGTCTTTTCCTAATCTAACAACTTTGCTTGAAAATCTCACCACCTTGTTCCTATGACTCCTGACTGCTCTTTGGATACCATGGGGAACTAGTTGGTAAAAATTTTCATCAACTGAGGAAGACTCTGTCTCTGAAGTGAACTAACCATACTTAGTTTGTGAAAATCTAATTTTTTCATTTGGTCAGTTTTATTTTGATCACCTAAATTATCCATGGTTATGAATTACAAAGTTGGAATTACTGTCTTTTTTCAGGTTAGTGGACAGTCTCAAATCAAGACAGTAAAGAACAAAGCTATTGGATATAATTTAAAAGTACACCTCATAAAACCAGGTGGTTGGTAGAGTTTGTCTATTGAAAAGGATCTGCCTCTATATACAAGTTTTCTTCTATCAAACTTGTTTATTGGGTGTAATAGCTATTTTGTACAACAAATCTATAGTTATGGTTAAAAAAAGAGTATCAGAAAATCAGAAAAGTGGTTTTCTCTTTTTTCTAGATTTTTTTGCGGTAGTCATCATATTTAAGTAAATTTTTGAGCTGTGAATATTTTCATGTTGTTGTTGCAACATGTAGCAGTACATCAAGAGGTATTAACGTTCTCTTGTATATTATCAATTTAAGTTTATTCACACCCTAGTTCATTCTGATTTATTAACACAAAGTATTTATTTGGTGCTCAGTTCACCGGGTAACTACATCTGTAGTCCTCACTGAACTTCCTTTTAACCCTTTACAACCCTACTTCAGAATGCATATTCTCTATATTGTTCTCTATACAATTTATGAGGTGCTGACAAGGAGAATTTGTGAAACAATCAAGAGCTTCTTTAGTTAGGGATCATTTCGTTTCTTCTTGTGATCTTATTATGTGATTCAGAGGTGTTATTGTATGGAGAAATTAGCTTTTAGTCACTCCTTGGGTCAAAGGGTTAAAACTGTTAACAGCTCACTATTTTAATTAATTTTTAACCATTATGTCGGTATTTTTTTTTCTTATTTTGTATGTAACCTTGAAATAATTGCGTTAGTGGTTGAAACAACAATTACTGACATTTTAAGGGAAAGGAATTGAGTTACATTCAGTTTGGCTTTAGTTTCTTTTTGTTTTGTATGTAACCTGATGTTTTGAGGACTAAACTACTGAGCTAGCTGGAATTTGTTGGCTTTTTTTTTCAAGTTAAAACGATTTTCAAGAAGTACCTTTTTTTGTTACTGTTTCGGAGATTAGTAGAAACGAGAGCAGTGTTCGCGTTACTTTGTTAAGAAGTGAAATTAGCCGACTCAATTTAGGCAAAATAAACTGGTTGAAAAATTTTTTGTGGTAGTGGTTTTGTTCAAATAAGTTGTTATTCTCTGGTAACCCATTGACATCGATGCTAGCAAGAAGTGTTGGTGGTCTCGATACTGAAGGTAACCCGCTCACGGTTTGATCTCTTCAAGTGCTGGCCTTATCGCCCCAAGGTTAATACAATTTTTTGGAAGGAAGCTAAAAAACAACTCGAAACAACTTCATAAGAAACAACAACAACAAAATGACACAGAAATGTCCACGTCAGTTTTCAAAGTCAAGGTTAGAGTTTGTTGACGTGATGGGCCAAATTGAGTGGTCACGCAAGTCGCGCGTGATTACAACAAGAATACCAAGGGGGAGAGGAAGAGGAAAAGTTTGAAAACAACATAGACTTTGTACGTTGGCAATCATCCAACGAAAGTCTATCAAACTTTTGAATCACACATATAGCGAACATTAACTTTTCCTTTTCACCCATTTGTTACGCTTTTATCGCGCGCACTTTGGGTCTTAATTCTTTGATATCCACTTTGGTTACGTCAGTATCTTGCGAAGTTTTACTTTTCCTTGTTGTCCGTTTGTCACTTTGTATCTCGCGTATTTTTGGTTCCACTTGTTATGCGATTGTTGTGTTATTAAATCAGGCAGATTTAGTTTTTCCTGTTGTCCAGTTGTTATGTTAGTATCTTGCACAGTTTTGGTTTCCTCTTTTATTCCTTTGTAACGCGTTTGCATCTCGCGTACTTTTGGTTTCTCTTGTTATGCAATTGTTACGTTAATTAATCCGGCACATACAGTTTTCATTTTTGGGCAATTGTTACGTTCGTATCTCGCGCAGTTATGGTTCTCCTTGATATCCTATTGTTACGTCAGTAACTCGCGAACCTTTACTTTTCCTTGTTATGTGATTGTTAGGTTCATCTCGCCCACATTTGGTTTTCCTTGATGTCCGATTGTTACTTTTGCGTCTCCCACTCTTTTTGTTGTCGTTATTGTCCGATTGTTACCTTTGTGTCTCGCACAGTTTTGGTTTCTTTTGTTACGCAATTGTAACGTTAAGTTACTCGCGCACTTTTAGCTTTGCTTGTTGTCCGATTGTTACGTAAGAATCTCGTGCACTTTTAGCTTTCCTTGTCGTCCAATTGTTGCGTTAGAATCTCGTGCAATTTTGGTTTCACTTGTAACGGGAACTGTTACGTCAGTTTATTATCCAACTGCACAAAATAGAGTACGAATAACGCGCGAATCGAGTGCAAATGTCCGATGTTGTACCAGCGACATTGTACAGTTGTTATTTGTATCTAGAAAGAACCTATTTACCATTGGTTTCCCTTATTGTGCCATTATTAAGTTAGTATCTCGTCTACTTTAGGTTTTCCTTGTCCGATTTTTAAGCCTCTAAACTTATAATTACATTTACCCTCTCCGACTGTCAATCGGCCTCCATCGTTTTCATGCGCTCGAATTTTCGAATTTGTGTGACCTTTAGTGCTCTCCCTCATTTTCTTCCTCATTTGCATAATCTGTAAGCGGCTGCTTAATGCCCTGCCTTGATCTCGTTCGAAGCCAATGAGAGCGCACGCCATAATTGTTGGTATCGTTATGTGTTTTATGTATACTGATCAGCATACATAAAACATATAACGATACCAACTTCGAAGAGTAACGTTTTAATTCAAGTTGGATTTTGCTCAACTTTGCTCTGTTACTCGCCTTAAAAATTCGCAGTATTCTTTTAACTAATAAAGCTTAAAGCTGAAACCAATCATATACCTGAAGAACTCGTTTTATTCGCTTGATCCATTAAAAGTACGTGATTCGTCAGTCTCATTGCGATACTTCACTCTGTGCCTTGGATTGAACCTAATCAAGAACTGCTCTTCAAGTATTTTTTTCAATGGTATACTTGTTTAAAAACGCCTTGGAGCTGTGAGGTTTTGCATCAGAAAAACACACATTTGTGCGTAACGCGTATTGTTTAATTAACAAGTAGATTTCATGATACCATGCGTCTAGTCAGTAATGGATCTCAGATGCTGACGTCAAAATGTGGTGAGAACAAGAAGGTGGCAAACGAGGCACAGCTGAGTGCGTTACTGATGATGTTACAACATTCCGACGTCTTCTGTCATCTATTACTGGACAGATCCACAGCAACATGGACACTATTTGTTTTAGAGTGTTTGAGAAAGAAACAGAATGTTGTTAATGGTGACGTGGTCCGTGCGTCTGTCCTTTAATAGATCATAAGTAAGACCCATGTATGTATTATAAGCTGTAGTAGAGATAACACGTCTTTACAAAGGCCAGGCCCTCAATATCCTTTCAAGGCGGTGTCACAGCGTTTTGGATACCAAAACGCACTCTCGCCTCTTCTCCAAAACGCTGTAACAGCGGTACACCACGTGAATGGGCTTGGGTTTCAGATGATCTAGACAGCAGAGAACTGGAAACGAATACTAACATGAGCCTGCAGATCACACTGCTGGCATAAAAGCAATGGCGGCTAGTAGGAAGTATTTCTTGAGTTTGTTTGGACGGAATTTTCGCCATGTTCTTTATCAATCTCGAAACCCTCATTTAATGAGACCAAATATGCGCTTATTATCTGACAAAATAATCGACAGTTCAGACTCAGAGCCACCCATACCAGTGTACAAATCGCCTCAAAACGAACCGGTCGATCGCAAACGAGCAAGATTACTCTACCAAAGCAGGTACACATATATAAAACTACTGAAATTCAAATGGTGCACTTGTTCAAACAAATTCAAATGGATGTAGATAAAAGTAAGTTAAATTCATTTTACATCTGCTCCAGGAAGCGTGGAATGCTGGAAAATGGACTCCTGTTGAGGTACGTGGCTACCATAATCATGGTTAATTACGTAACATGGTTTGGGTGAAAGTGCCAGATCGTTTCTCGTAGTATTTGTTTTGTTTAAGCAGTAGCATACAAACAAAAGCCTGTAATGAAAACTTTGAAAGTGAATATAAAATTTCTGCACAGGCTATCTCGAGGCAAGATTTCTGTACAGCTCCATATTTCATCATGCATACGGTTTTTGGACAAAGAAAACAATGTCGTAAAGATTAGGTTGCCTTTGGGACTACAGCTTTGTTGTAGAATAGTATGGGGTTAAACGGAAATCTTTTCGGGCTCAAATCAATGCTTCTGTTGCGGGAAGGGCATGGATATTTTCTGGAACAATGCAGTTTCAGTTGCACCCATGTGTTTCAAGTGTTGTTAAGGGGGCCCAAGGGGAGTATGTGTCATCTTCATGGTCCAAATGGTGATAAATTGTTAACATAAAACAACCTAGCATGGATTTGAATGTGAGTAAGATGGCCAGAGTAGTTTACCCCTCCTCCTGTCTCCTACTGAGAGGTCTTACACTTCCAAAGAAATATATCTGAATTTGATTTTTAATTGGCAGCACATTTGCAGATAAGCATTTAGATGGTCTGAATGATAACCAGCTGGATCAGTATGACAAGCTGATAAATGAACCTAGCAATGACTGGGAGATATACTACTGGATGACAGACAAGAAACCTACACCTACAGAGTATGATAATCCAGTTATGGAATTGCTTAAGATCCATGCAAAGAATGAAAATATGGAAGAACGTATCAGACAACCAGATCTTCAAGCAAAGTAATCACCATGAAAAGTCTTTGACAGAGTATTCTCCCTCTTATTCCTGAAGAACCACTGGAGATTTTTTACAAACTCTTGCATTGCTGTTCTTTGAATCAGTAAAGCCTGTAACAGTTATTTGGGTTACTTTGGAAGTTGTAAAGACTCAAGGAACAATTCATCAGAAATTGCAAGGTTTTAAACAACTAAACACTGTTGCTCATGCAAGAGAATTACCACAACCTTTACAAAGGGTGGTAACAAAATTTGTTCCTCAGACATCCATGACAAATCTGAAAGTAACAACATTTGTTATAACAAGGGAGAAATTTAACATTAAGTTTTGAGTTAGGTGTTTTTGTCTATCCCTTTGTCCAATTAAAAAAAAAATATTGCTCATAACAGAAAACTAAACTTTCAAGTTGCTTCTATTATTTATTGCACAAATGAGTTATAAACACTTGAAAATATCCAAGTTAATGATTCTTTGGGCTCTGGGGTGTGACTTTTGCCTTAATGACTTTACATGCATGATGTGAGATGTATTCATGCAGGGTTGCACTCATCACTTTTTCAATTCTGAACACTCTTTTTTGTCTTGATATGTTTGTTGAGAAAATCATTATTTTCTTGAAATGGAACTGTCATCACCAAGTACAATCACCAAATCTCTGAATGAGTTTGTCCTGATCACAGAGGTCCTTCTGAACCTTCTTTCTCATGTAAAAGATGGGACAATCACGACTGAAACAAAACAGATATTAACCATGTAAATGCAAAGCACAATCAAAAAGTGCCATGGATTCAGATTTTAGATGATCCCAAGAGATTTTTCATTCACTTAAAAGTATTTTGTGAGTTAAGAAGCAAAGCAGAGTGTAGAACCTTAAACTCCAAGATCTGATTGTTAATTCTCCCTTCTCACTGCTACACAATTCCTTATAATTTGGTTACCAGAATTTGTTGTTAGAACCAGATAAAATCTTCCATCTGACAAGTTTGAGTATTCTCATTATTTGTCTGCTGGATAGTGTACGGATATTATTATCATAGGGGTAAGTTACATGTTAATCACTTCTGGGAGTTAGAGGATTAATATTTCTAGGTGGAAAGAGAAGAAGAGAGTGAAGTGTCCTGTTGAAGAACACAACTATCTCTTGTCAAAAAATATCAATCATTGTATTTTTCACACCTGGTACACAGTACATCAGCATGCAGACTGCCTTGACAATTTTGACATTGAGTCCATAGCCTTGCAAACTTTTCTTCCAATGCATTCAGGTGAGAAATTTCCTTTTGATAGAGACCAGACTCTTTAGGCTTACAGTGTTTACAGACAGCAGAATCTGGTAAGCAAGGGAAAGGATATGATCAGAAGTTGTGACAACACATCTCAGAACAGTAATGGAAAAACTGATTCATACCAAATCTCCAATTTTTTTTTTACATAAATTGCAGTTCAGACATATATTTTGTGTACAGTTGTGTTAGTGTTTTATGAGAATTTTTTGAGTGTAACAGCTTAATTTCACACAGTATACTCACTGTTGTCAAGGACTGCTTTACACCCAAGGCAAGTTTCTCTCTTCTTAGTAAACATAGCCAGCTTGCTCACTTTTGATGTTACAATAGTTTTTGTGAGTGTATGTTGCCCTTCTGCAAAGATATCAAACAAGGGAATTAAAATAAGAGTCTTTTGTCTAGTTGAATCAAAGAGCAAAAGTAGCAAATCACACTACACATGGCCTCACTTAAGATTGTCATTTGGCAGGTTGTGGGAATAAAGAAAATTATCAATTAGGAAACTATTGGTTGATCCAATATCAAATTTGTAGAACTTGCATCATAAGAGTTGTATGGTTGATAGTAATGAGAGTTGCTAATGAGATCTTAGGAGTGAAAAGGTTAAAACAAATGTCTTCCTAATGTAAAGTTTGAGAGCATTGTATCACAAACATTAACTAGCTCCTTAGGAAGCTCATCATGGAAATCTAGTAATAGCACAAGTTGATGTTATTAAGTGTGGCTGCATATTTATGTGCATGAACTGTAAGCTTTTTGTGAAAAGATAGACCAATTTTGCATATAGTTCTTTGAGGAAGGATCTTTCTACTTGATAACAAAGTCATTGGTCATTTACAGTGTAAGAGAAGGAAAATGCAGACTTACTAAGAAGCACAGAGGTTGCTTTTGCCTCTCCCAAAATAGGCTCAAATATTCTCAGCAAGGGATTTGACAACTGATTCTCAAGGTAATATTTTGTGTCAATAGGAATGTTGTTCTCCAGCACATAAATGGGATCCTGAAAAGAATAAAGGGGTAAGTTTCTAAAGAAACTGTGGTGCTGCGTCGGTGGGAGACTATAGCAGGTAATTTAGTGTTAACAACTGGGTTGAAAACGTAAATTAGCCACCATAAAGGGTAAAAAAGCTGACGTTTCAAGTGTTAGCCCTTCGTCAGAGCGATACAATCCTGAAAAGAATGCCAACTTAGTAATATTTTTTTAAAACAATCATGTGATTTGAAAAAAAGGTTCCATTCACCTCCGCTTTTTCATAAGCTTTCTCTCCTTTAGCACCTGCAATAATGACATATGGGACTCTGTCTCCCAGCTTGGGAGCAGAACCAGCATCGCGTTTCCGCATTCTGTGAAAAGCAAAAAGCAAAATACCTTAGAAGGTAACTTTTTGTTACAATCATGTGCATGGGTTATTACTGGACTATACAATTTGGATTGAGGCAACAATAATACAAGCTGATCAACTAGGTGTTATAAAACCAAAATCAAAGAAAAAACAATGGAGAATCAGATGAAAGGAAATACCCTGAAGAGTCAATGAGAACTCAAAGTAAAAACAAGAAAACTTCCTAAATAGAAAGAAAAGCAGGCAACCAAGTCACGAGTGGAGTTTGTTTTGCATATAATTGGTTGAAAGAGTGGACTGGTGTGAGATTTTCAGATTAATAATATGGCATAGTAAAACAAAACCAAAGCAGTCCTAGATCACTTTCAACACTCAATTGAAAATTACTCTATCATGGCTACCAAGTTAGTTGTAAATCAGACCTCTCTGCCAGCTCAGAATGTGCTTGTTTCCCAGCATATTCATCCCCTGTCTTGGTCAACTCCTTTGTTATCACCAGCTGTGAGATATCAATTCTGTTGCACAGAAGGTCTGATATCACTTGCTTTGTGTAATCAACAGCTCCCATGGGATCCCTATGGACAAAAACATTTATGACTTACAAGTAAGAAATTGACTGAATACAAATGATCACATGAACCAGTAGTGATGAGCAAGCTTCAAAGACCTGTACCTCTCAATGAGAATTTTTTGTAAGCAGGAGTTAATAAGGTTTGCAACCAGAGGGCAGTTATCTCTTCTTACCTGTGAAAATAAAACAAAACCAACAATTAAGAAAGAACCTACACTGATCTAAAGGCCATTATTATCAAAGAATAAAATAAATAAAAGTAACAAAGAATCAGTAGCTATGCCTGAGAAAAAGACTGAGAAATTATCAGTTGAAGAGCTAATTAGCAGACTTACTGTTTCTATTCCCTTGCAGTCCATTTTGTCATGCTTATCGGCTTTAGTAAAGTACAATCCAGCATAGCGCTTCTTGCTGATCAGAAGATATGGAAAATACACCTGCAACAATGTGCAAAATTGCATAATGCAATTAAAAAAAGACAAGAAACAAAATCAACCTGGGAAGGGATCAGTCCACTATGTTCCAAAACTCCATCAATTACATCTTACCTTCTCAAACTCCAATTTGATGGGTTTGATAAAGTGACCAGATACATAACCTGCAGCTTCTTTACCAAGTTCCATGCTCTCTGCAACAGAATCCACTCCAAACTTGACCATTACAGAATCTGTGTCTCCATAGATGACCTAAAGGCAACAAATGTGGTGTACAAGAAGAATTAAGCCATCCTCTGATCAGCTAAATTGTACAGTCAATAGATCTTATTCAGTGGTGAAATTTTGTGTTTACCTGTGTGCGTACTTCATAACAAACAGCATTAATTCAACAGTATTTACCTGAGCATTTGTTTTGTACCCATTATCCACTGTATATTTTTCTTCAACAAGTTCTTTTGTTCTCTCTATCATCATGCGCCCAAAAGCCGTCACACTCTGCAGTGAAACAATATTGCACATTTTATCATTGTTGTTTCTTCCTTACTGTCATCACCAATTAAGGTTCCATTCAAAATTTTAAACAATAATTATGTGAAAATTTTAAAACACATTTGAAAGCCTATTGCAAGGGTGGGAGGGTTACAATTGACATTCCCAGAGGTGGATTGCATTCAGTTTACATTTTGACCCTTACAAGTAATTCACATGGAACTTCTTACTGTCAATAGTTATTCACTAAAAGGTCTTGTCTTGATACAACACTAATTTCTCTTTACTTAATTACAAGAAAATTTATATCAGCAAGGAGTGGGAATTAATGTAGGAGTTTAAGAGTCAAATGGAGCTGGGATCAATAATATACAGTCCCTATGACAGGTACAAACTTAGAGGGGCAGTTGCAGAATAAATTCAACTAACCAGAAATTAGACTTACAATGCAACTCGATCAAAGCTTAGTTATATTTTGAACTTGTAGCTACCTGTGAAATTGGCAGACAGGGAAGCTTTCCAACTTGTGCTCCAGTAAACCCATACACAGAGT